GGCGGCGGCGGCGGGCACGGGCCGGCATGGCGGCCGCCGGGGGTACGGCGAGCCGCAGGGGCCCCGGGCGGCCCTGCCCCTTCTCCATCGAGCACATCCTCTCTAGCCTGCCAGAGCGGAGCTCCCCGGCCCTGGCAGCCCGCCCGCCGCCGCCGGCCGACCGCCAGAGTCCCGCGGAACCCGCGGAGCCCGGGACACCCAAGGCGCCCTGCACCTGCTGCTGCTGCTGTGGGCCCCGCGCGGCGCCCGGAGGGCCCCCGGAGTCCCCCGCGGGATTAGGTGAGTGGGCGCTGGGCGTGGGTGCGTGGGTGTGGGAAGCACCGGGGCGCGCGGCGCGGTCGTCGCGGAGCTCGGCCCCCCCGCTCCATGTCTCACAGCGCCCTTGCCCCGCAGGCGCGCGGCTGCCGTGGCCGCTTAGACTGGGGCCCTCGGCGCCCTTGCCCTTGGCCGTGCCGCCTGGAGGCTCCGGGGCGCTGCCCGGCGCCGGCGGTCCGGGCCCGCAGCGGCGCACGCGGCGCCACCGCACCATCTTCAGCGAAGAGCAGCTGCAGGCACTGGAGGCGCTCTTCGTGCAGAACCAGTACCCCGACGTGGGCACGCGCGAGCGCCTGGCCGGCCGCATCCGCCTGCGCGAGGAGCGAGTGGAGGTGGGAGCCCGCCCGCTGACGGCCAGAGGGTCCGAGAGGGTCCGGGCCGCCTGGCTTCTTTCTTCCTTCTTTGGAATAGTCGGCCCTGGCGCGGGGGGCCGCGGCGGCGGGAGAAGGTGCGGGAGGCCCCGGGGCAGCAATGGGACACAGGGCGTGTTCCGGGGCGAGGGGTGGGCGGGGACAGGCACGTGCGGGAAAGCGTCGCTGGAACTGGAGGGGAGGTAAAGCTAGTTTTCCTTTGCTTTGTTTTAAACTTTTATTTTTGCTGGTGGTAAATGAAGCGCGCATTTATGTTCCAGAATTTGGGAAGCTCACAAGAGCATAAAGCGGCAAAAGGAGCGCCCTGGGCGCGGCGGGGCAGAGGTGGGGGGGTGGGAACGGAAGGCTGGTCCGAGTGGGAAAGGGGTTCCCCTCCTGCAGCCCGAGTCACCGTCCTTACCTGCAGCAGAAAGGAACAGCCGCTACCAGGTGCCGGCTCCGCAGCCCTCATCCGCCCACCCGTCCGGGAACCCCGCCTCCAGGTCCGCCTATGGGAACCCAGTGGGACTCGGGTCCTGCCTGAGCAGTACCTCCTTCTCCCCAGGTCTGGTTCAAGAACCGCCGGGCTAAGTGGCGACACCAGAAGCGCGCGTCTGCGTCGGTGAGGCTCCTGCCGGGAGCCAACAAGCCCCCCAAGGAGAGCTGCTGATGGCTCTGGGAGCTACTCCTGGGCTTGGCCGAGTCCTTTGGGGTCGGCTCAGAGAGTCGACAGTCCTACCCGAAAAGGAGCTGAGAGAGGACACCGGACCCTTCCCGTCTACACAGCTTCCTGCGTGCTGGAGCTAGTATTCAACACAGGAGCCCCTGTGCAGGAGCATGTGTGTGTTCCTGCTGCACCACTTGCCATGTGAAGGAGAACACCGAGTACCCAGGCGCTCTCCTTCCCAATGACTAGCTGGCAGGAGGATAAGGGGAGATTCCCTAGGGGGTAGGCGGATGGGGCACAGAGTGGGGTCATCTTCCTCACTCCTCCTAGGCACTAACCTGGTCCTTGTCAACACCAGGACCTAGAATCCTCCTGTCTTTCCTGGCATGCTGGCCTCCCTCCTCTCCTCAGCCTGGACATGGCCCCCTGATCTGGCCTACAACCCTTCCAAGCAGGGTGGATGGTGTCTGTGCATCCTGGGGCTGCTGCCAGCTCGCAGGTCCTGCCCTGGGTTTTGTGTCCAGATCTATAGAATAAGAAGGTTGAGTGAAGTCTCTCCAGAAGCTCCCTGCCCTGCTTCTTAATCCTGTGAGCCTTGGTCAGATATGGAAAAATAAACAAGCAACTACAGACACCACAAAAGCAGTCTGCCCTGGCTCCACTACCACACCCAGCTGGGCCTGCCCTTCCTCTCTCCTTCCTAGGAGTGGGGGGCCCACTTATCTTGGGGGAGCACAGCCCAATGAATACTCAGTCCCTGTACCAGGCTGACCCCCAGCAGAGCAAACTGCCCCACAGAGAATGGCCTGGCACGCTGGGGGCCTGCACTGGCCTCTAGGTGCTGCTTCATGGATGGGGGTCCTTGGCTTCCTCCTTGGGGCAGATTTCCATGCTGCGGTGTCTGCCTTCCTCACAGCAGTCAATCTGTGCCACTCTGTGGGGCAGGAGGAGGCTCGACACGCCTCTCTCCCCCTAGCCCCACACACACTGCTTTGGAAAATGTCTGCTCTTCCCTCCATGATCCTGGGCTCAGGGTGAAGGATAGTGTGAAAACATGACTTCCATTCCCCAAGTACACCCAAACAGTGGGCTCAAGGAACCTAACACACCCCTCATCTTACTTGGGGATCTTCTGCCCACCCACAGGTCCTGGTGGGAATCGGGTGGTATCTAGCAGGAGACACAGTCCATCCATAAAACATGCAGAAGCCAGAGCTGGCCAGCTCAGATAACACCAAGTAGGCATGGTGTCCCTAGTCAGTGCTGCGCTAATGCTGGCAGGTACCTACTTCTAGGACAGCAGCTGTTGCCTCACCTCCCAGGGTGTACACTTCTGGCTTTTACCAAGCTTTTCTCCCTGAATCCTGGTTTTATCCTTGGCCACTGTATAGCCTGCCTGCGGAGCAACCCCGCAGGCTGGAACAGCTTCATCTCTCTGGGTTCCAGGATCCTTGCCCTCCTAGACTGAGTTGCTATTTGTCATTGTGTGGGGTAGTCAGGATTGGAACTTCACCTTCAACGGACCAGTGGCTGTGTTGCCTTCCTGATTTTTCTCCTTTCTCTCTAGCTGCTCTTGGGCAGGCTCACCTCCACAGCCGGGTGTTAACATAGATGTCTTTGAGGCCAAGTCCTAGGCACCCTCTTCTCATCTCCATTCTCACCTGGGTTTCTCTCTTTCATCCTTAGGCTCCAATTTTCATTCTTTCTGCCATGTTTACATCTCCAGCCCAGGCCTCTTCCCTGAGCTAGATATTTATGTCCAACTGTTCCTTCGACTACACCCGGAAGCCCACAGCTCCTCTAAATCACCTTGTCCTGGGAAGGTGAGCTCTTTCCCTGTGCATACCAGGTACACAAGCCAGAGGGCAGGCAATTACCCTGCCCCCTCCTTGCCCTCGCCTATCAGACCCAGGCCAACAGCAAGTCAATTTCACCTCCAGAACAATCCCGGAATCTGTCTTCTCCCCAGCTTCAATTGCACCAAAGGTCGTCTTCCTGTTGCTGCTGGGCCTTTTCTCATGCTTTTCCCTCTCCAACTGATAAATGCCTGTTCATCTTTTGGATCTGCAGTCACATCCTGCCTAGGGAAACTTCCCCCAACTGCCCCTAGGTAAAATTCCTCAAGAACAAACTTTTCTTGCACCTCTCAGCTGCAGCTCTAAACTGGTTTGTGGGATAGCCTAACTGGAGTTTGTCTTCCTTATTAGACTATCGGCTCTATGAGGGGAGGAACCATCACCATGGAGTCCCCTGTTGTACTAAAGGATTCTGGGGCAGAACTTACTTGTTTGACATAATTCACAACCTCCTTTTGAGAAGAAATAATCAGTACTGAAAAATGCATGGGCAGGGGGCCGGCCGAGTGGCTCAGTTGGTTAGGAACTCACTCAAGAGTTTGAGCTCTGAGCAACAGCGGTTCGATGCCTGGCCCGAGCTGAGCTGCTGCTGAGCTGCCAAAAGGTGGCAGGATGGCTCAGCTAAAAAAGATGAAAAAAAATATGCATAGGCAATTTTCTGGTCCACTTCAATGAGAATAAACCCTCTTCTGGGAAGCCCACTCTGGCATTCAGAGACCTGATAATTTTTAACTAGACATTTCTTTATTGAACCATCATATTTTTCTTTACTTTTTCTTTTGTTAGGAAACTATCATGAAAAAAAAATGTCTTGGGGTTCTTTTCTTGCATAAAGTTTGAATAAAAGCTTTGAAACGTGTATATAACCAAATTTTCTAAAGAGTGTGTTTTTGTTAATAATATAGAAGCATACGCAGTGATTATTTGCGAGAAATTGGAATTCCAAAGCCTTCCAATTCCTCAGTGCAGGAATTTTTCACGATTAGCGTGAATGACACGCCCCCTAGCCCCACCACCACAGCGCCCCCTGGTGTCCACATCCCAGATACACGTCATTAGAACGGGGCAGGAAGAAGACTACAACTCCCATAAGAGAGAGGGCTTGTAGTGACGTCAGCGCGGAGCGCGGCTCGGCCTTCGAAACGCACAGCTCCCCATTGGCCGACTGTTGGAAGCGCCTGCGTAGTCCCGCCCCTTGACGCTGTGACGCGCCTTCCGAACTGTCCTGGGATAGCGATGGAGACTCCCGGCGCGTCTCCCCGGGCCCTGTTGCTTCCCACCGCGTCCAGGCCCCGGAGGAAGCGCGCAGCAGGGGAGGCTGGTGCTGCGACGAGCAAACAACGGGTCTTGGACGAGGAAGAGTACATCGAGGTAAGACCTCGGTGCGGATTCCCGCGACTTCTTGGTCCCTTCCCCGCCTTGCTCTCCTCTCGGGTTCTTCTCTCCGGTGGTAGCACTCTCGTACCATCGCGGAGGTGGAGCAGCCTGAGTTCCTGCCCTTGGGGTGTGGACAGTCCGAGAGCCAAATAAGCACAATCTAGAAGGGGATGTTCTTGGTAGGGGAGGCACTGGCAGTGTTGTCAGGGGAGGGAAGGGACGGTTCTGGTTGTATGCGGGGCGGGAGGGGGCGGGAGGGGGCAGGGAAACAAGGTTTTATGTCAAAGCATGAGTAAGTTTGGAAGGATGATGGCAAAGAAGACTTTCTAGAGAGCGGAGATAGCAAGTGTCCAGCTTGGGGTTCTGGAAACAGGCTGCGATTGTGGTAGCATCATCGAGTGAGTGGGCCTCCGACGACCCTTGAAATAGGTCTTAATCCTACCGCAAACACGAAGGAGGAGGAGATGGCACTGAGATTAGAGGAAGTCGGTTTGGTTTGGGACTGATGGAAGTCTGAGATATACAGGCAGGTGGCATTAGAGGACAGATAGGTGCACAGATGTGCAGATCAGGAGCAAGGTCTGGCTGGAATTGCAGAGTTGGGAATCTCAGCCAGTGCTGGTGATGATGACTGGATGAAGTCATCCAGGTAAAGGGTTCAGATTGGAAATAGGGGGTCATAGGTGGAATACAGATGATAACACTCACATTGGTCCAGCTGGTGTGGAGGTGGGTCCAGCAAAGGAGAATGAGAATGACCAGTTAGTGAGGGAAGGGAGAAGGGCTTCATGAAAAATCAGAGGAGTGTTTAGTAATGTTAGATGTTGTAGCAAGGCTGCATGGGATGTTGTTCTCATTAGAAAATGCCCCTAAGATCTGGGATCATTGGGCTGGATAGTGGTTGAGGGAGGTGGTCAGCAATGGCCTTAGTATGTATATCGATGGACTGAGAGGCGAGGGCCCCCGATGGCACCTCTGACTTTTGTTCTGATCTCTCCTGACAGGGCCTCCAGACAGTCATCCAGAGGGATTTCTTTCCTGATGTGGAGAAGCTGCAGGCACAGAAGGAGTACCTGGAGGCTGAGGAGAACGGAGACTTGGAACGGATGCGCCAGATCGCCATCAAGTTTGGCTCTGCCCTGGGCAAGATGTCCCGAGAGCCCCCAGCACCTTGTAAGAGGGCTCCTGTGGGTGGCAGAGAGGAGAATGCCCGCTGACCTATTGCCTCAACATTCGCTCTAATCTCCTTCCCCTCTCTTCCCCCAGATGTGACTCCAGCCACGTTTGAAACCCCTGAGGTGCACACAGGCACTGGAATGGTGGTCAACAAGCCTCAGGGCCGGAGCCAAGGCCTGGAGGATGGTGATGGTAAGTCCGCGCCCTCTTTCGGTCACATGATCAAGGTTGCCAGGGAATCTTACCCTGTGAGAGTGGTCCAGAGTCAGGTCACATCTTGTACCTAAGGGGTCTCCTTGCCTAAATGGCAGCCCATGGAACCAAAGAGCACTGGTCTATGAGGCAGAAGATCTGGGTCTAGCCCCCAAATGTGGGGCAGTCCTCTGAGCCTCTGGCCCTCTGTGGTATGGGAATCTCACTTCCTCTCTCACCAGGCTGCTCACTGAGTGCCAGCCCCTGCCCAGTGAGCTTCATGGGCCTCAGAGGAATCCTTTCCTTGCTGTCTCCTTAAGATGCCTCAGGCCCTCTGCACTTTTTTCTTCCAAGTTGGCCGCTTCCCTAGGTAACTGCATGGCTCACTCCTCTTTCTCCAGGTTTTTATTCAGCTGTTACCTGTTCAGGAAACCCTGTCCTGACCTCCCAGTGTAAAGTCACCTGATGCTCTGTGCTTTCCTGGCTTTGTTTTCTCCCCATACGACATGACACTTAAAAAGGCATTTCTGTTTGTTTATTGTCTCTCCCCTTCTCAAGAGCAGGTTCTTTATCTTGCTCCTGTCTGTATATTTTGCGTCTAGAACTGTGCGTGCTGTGTTATGGGCCTTCCACAAATACGTGTAGAACAAATGGATAAGTTGTCTTCTTCAACACATTTACTAAGATGTGTATGATATATGATACATCCCAACTTTATAAGGGTATCTTCTTAGGACAGAGTATTCTGAGCCCTGTTGAACGTAAGTGTACCGCAAGCTACGGGACTTCCTTGCGGTTAGTCAGTGTTATCGTCAGTAGAATGTCAGTACCCATACAGATGGATGACATGCTATTCTCTACTAGGTTCTGGTCTATGGTATGCTGTACTAACCTAGATGCCCTGTGTGCTCACAAACATGACTTATTCTGCTTTAAAATCTAGCTCTTTCTGCTATTAACACAGTCCATTGTGTTGTGTGGAGAGTGGTTCTCCATTGCAATATGGCACATGAATTACAGACAATCTGCAGATTCCTTTTCTTTAAATATCTCTTATCAGTAAGCACAGCAATCCTTTCAGTAACTTAAGTGGTAGGTGCTGTCATCATTCACGGTGACAGGTGAGGAAACTGAGGCTCAGGATGGTCGAAGCTTCTGCAGGTCTCAGAGCTGATTGTGGTGAAATGGAGTTTGAGTCTTCATCTTTCTGACCCCGGGTCTTGAACTTGTAACCACTGTGCTTTGTGCACAGCCTAGTGGGTAGTAGGTGGTCAAGACTGTCACTAAAGTGGAAGAAAAGACCCTCTTCCTAACGGCCCTGCTAAAGTTTGTGCCTCTGAGCACACTGTGATGGCACCGCCTCAGTGGGAGTTCCGCTTTCAGTGGTGGTGCTGAGGCAGCTAGGGTTATAGCCCAGTGCCTGTGAGGCCCCATTTGGAGCACTAGATCCCATGGGGTCCCTGCCATCAGGCCCAGTAGCAAGTTTGGAAGCTTATGTGACAGCCAGCCACCGGTAGCACAGGTACCAGGAAGGGAAGAGCAGTTGGGGTAAGGAAATCCCAGGGACGAAGGGAGAGCCCAGGGCTTTGGAGGCAGGTCCTATAGAACTGGCACAGTTTTGGCACGGGAAGATCCTCTGTGATCACTTGCTCTTTCTCTAACACCTAGATGTCCCCGTTCCAGTCTGAGTCAGACTGCACACTTCACTTGGCAACCAGCAGATGAGGAGAACCCCTGAGAGCTCCCTGGCCAGTTGGGTTCGTTGCTTTTGCCCCAAAGTGGAGAGTTGTCTGGCAGTGTGGGCTCTCACAGACAGACCCAGGACCAGGGATGAGGGTCTGAGCCTTGCTTGTAGGGCAGTGCAGTTCCCAGAACCAACTGACCACAAAGTGATGTTTCTGCTATTTATGTCATTCCACCTGCACCCCTGAGCAGGAGAGGCTGGAGAGGAGGAGGAGAAGGAGCCCCTGCCCAGCCTGGATGTCTTCCTGAGCCAGTACACAAGCGAGGACAATGCCTCCTTCCAGGAGATCATGGAGGTGGCCAAGGAGAAGAACCGGGCACGCCATGCTTGGCTCTACCAGGCCGAGGAGGAGTTTGAGAAGGTGTCCCTGGGTGCAGGGGCAGAGTCACCCTCTGTTGGGGTCAGGGAGTCCCAGGGCCAGGGCACAGTGCCGGGGGGCCTCTCTGACCCTCACTTTTCCCCCGTTTGATACAGAGGCAGAAAGATAATCTCACACTCCCATCGGCAGAGCACCAAGCGATTGAGAGCAGCCAGGCTGGCGTGGAGACCTGGAAATACAAGGCCAAGAACTCTCTCATGTACTACCCAGAGGGTGAGCTGGCAGTGTGGGCGGCGTGGACAGGGCTGTGAGTTTGAATTTGACCTTCAGAGGTGTGTGTCTGTGCTCCCTTGCATTCTGGGCTTCAAAGGGGTTCTGTTCTGTCTCGGAACAGATAGGTCTGTGTGTGAAGTCAGTGAGGGAGTAAGACCCTCCCCAGCTTCATTCAGGTTCTGCAACATGGAGACTAAAGCGGGCTCCGTGCTTCTGTTCAGCAGGGAGTGACTTGGCCCCTCTCTTAGGCCCTGAGCGTGGGGCGGAGGTGTGGCCTGCCCTCCCCTCTGACACCTGCTGCCATATCTCCTTGGTCTGCCAGGCGTCCCTGATGAAGAGCAACTGTTTAAGAAGCCCCGGCAAGTGGTGCATAAGAATACTCGCTTCCTCAGGGACCCATTCAGCCAGGCCCTGAGCAGGTCCCAGCTGCAGCAGGCCGCTGCCCTCAATGCCCAGGTGGGTGGAGGGAGCTAGCAGGGGACTGGATGTGGGCAGAAACAACCTCTCTGATCTTGGCTGCCCATCTTAAATTAGGACTGTTTGGGGCTTGGCAGAGCATGGCAGTGCAGGAGTATTTGGGGCCCCTGTCTGGCAGGGTTCCAAGTCTTTTCTCAACCCGTGTGGGCTTCTAGTGGGGTGCTGTCCTGGTAGACATATTCTATGGGTTCAGATCTGTGCCAACTCCCTTGGGAGGCAAGAGCATGAGAGAAAGTGGCTGCTGGGAGCCAGGCCAGTCTGGCCAGCCCTATACCCCTGCATCCCTGCACCAGGCAAGGCTGGGTGGTGCATGGGGTTGAGGAGGGGTTGGGCAGGCTTAGCATGGCAGACGGCAGAGAATTTCCAAGCTTGGGAGTTCCTGTGTGATGGTGGCTCTAGAAGTCATGGGGTTGAAGGGTAGGAGACAGGAGATGGAAAGACTGCTCCGGAGGCTTTTTACAATGGCCTTGTAAGGTTAGATCAGTACACAGTCGCCCATAATGAGTGTAGCTCCATGCAGGGGCCTAAAGTCAGTAGCCCGTGAAAGTAGGCCATGTGGGGTGTGGCTGATCCCCACCCTGCATGTAGGGGGGAGTGGGGGGAGCTTCCCTCTCTTGGATGACTGCTCTGAAAGGTCCTCAAGTTCTTTGCAGGGGCCAGGGACCTCCCTCTCTTTTCCCCAGGTGCGCTGCCAGCCACAGAGCCTCAGCTCTGCCCTGAGGGAAGTGTTTCCAGCATGTTCCTGTGCACCTGTCCATCTGTCAGTGAGGAAAAATTGTCTTGGGCCCCCTGACACTAGCCTATCTGATTGTTCCAGCACAAACAGGGCAAGGTGGGCCCCGACGGCAAGGAGCTGATTCCCCAGGAGTCCCCCCGAGTGGGCGGATTTGGATTTGTTGCCACCCCTTCTCCTGCCCCTGGTGAGAAACTCTCCCCTTGGCAAGCTGGCCTACCTGTGGGATGGCCTGGTGGGAGGTGGGCTGCTCGGTTGGCCCTGGTCATTCTGGTCATTCTTGACACTCACGTTGGGTCTGTCCCACACCTTGTGTGACTCAGGGACCTGGTGCCTGATCTGCAAGGACAGGGCTGGACTCTCAGGCAGACTCGATCTAAGATGTGTGGGCCCCGGCCCATTTAGCTGGGTGGTTTCCATCCCTCACCGTAAGCTGGGCAGGACAAACTGGGTTTGCTGGAACCAGGGGTGTTGGGACTCTGCTTGACAGACACATGGTGAGTGTGCTGAGGAGTGCAGGGAGAGGTGGGGTCCTGATTTGCAATGAGGGCAGTGAAGTCCAGCGGGCTGCCCACCAGGCATCTTCCTGTAGAAGATGTACATGGAAGGTGGCCTGCAGGAGGCTGGGTTCACCCGGGGCCTCGAGGGGCCATACCTGGCCTGTGCGGGGTGGGCAACACAGGCCTGAGGGAGCTGCCTCTCCCTCAGGCTGCCCGCCTCCTGCCACTGGCCTGGGGCTTGGTGTCCCCTCAGTTCTGGGGTAACTTTTCCTAGTTCTGGGTCTCACGTCAGCAGGTGCCCCGTGCTTACAAACCTAAACCCAGAGAGCACTACAGGGAGGGGTCTGTGGGCTCCAGCCCTGTGTCTCCTCAAACAGGAGGTATATGAGCCTTGGGGACCGTCTTGCAGTGCACATGCTGTCCCTCTGCCCTCCCATGAACTGGAAGCCCCTGAGTGTCTTTTCCTTTGGGGTAGGATGCCATCAGTGACCTCCAGGAATCTCCCTGGCCCTGTGCTAGGAAGGGGGCCTCGCTGACCCAGCTCAATTTCTCTAGGGAGCCCTGCTCCTCCAAGCTAAGCCCCATGGCTGTGGGGGCCTGGGCCTGCCTTGGGCCCGCAGTGGCCTTAGTGTTTCCTTCTCAGAGGGCAGAGGTGATACAGTTCCAGAGTCCTGGGGAAGGAGAGAGGGCCAGCTGCCAACCCTGGTGTTTGTTAGCTGGAATGTGCATGTAGGGGAATGGCTGCAGTGGGAGAGAGGGCCCAGGCGGTGCCCCAACCTGGGTCCCCTAGCCTGAGGTGGCTGTGGGCTCTTCATCTGCAGGTGTGACTGAGTCCCCACTGATGACCTGGGGGGAGGTCGAGAACACACCCTTGAGAGTTGAAGGATCGGAAACCCCCTACATGGACAGGACACCGGGGCCAGCCTTCAAGGTGAGTCATATTGAGGGGAACACAGGCGGGACCCTAAGTGGATGTATGGTCTTGTGAGCACCTGAAGTTCAGTGCACAGAGGATGGCCCAGCTGCCACTGGTCAGAAAAGAGCTGACCAGTAGGCCAAGTCAAGGGACTGCACACCTGCTCAGGAACTATGCTTCTGAATGAGACCAGGGCAGTGAGGACAGGTGTAGGCAGGTGAGTAGTTTTGTCAAGGAGGAACTGGGAGGGTAGGGCCAAGGCACCAAGATAGGGAATGACCGTGACCCCTTTGACCTGCAGGCCCAAGGTTGGGCTGCTCAAAGATGAAGAGTGGTCTCAGAGGCAGACCTGGAACTGTGACTGCGCTGTAGGCCTGAGTGCTAGGAAGGGCCCCAGAGCCCCAGCGTTCCGTGGAACATGGTTTATATTCTCAGAAAGGCTGTGTGCTTGCAGAGAGAGGCCTCTTGCAGAGATTGGGGTGGCCCAGGATGGTGTGGGCAAATGGGCAGGGAGGTGGGGCCCTGGAGGTACATTGGGAAGATGCGGTGCTCTGGGCTGCACGCAGTTTGTTGGGGAAACAGTGACTGGTGTAGTTTGGAAAGGGAAAGAAGAGAGGTGCCCGAAAATTGGGAGCATGTAGTCCTGTTGTTGGAGTGCTGGAATGCTGCCTGTACCAACTGTGCTGGAAGACCAAGGGAAACAGATTGGTGGTGTTGCAGAGACGGGTGCAGGATTACAGCATCTGCTTTGAAACCCCAAAGAACTGGGCGTGGAGTCTGGGATTAATGCAGAAGGCCTGCGTAGGGGGCTGGGTCAGAGTCACCTTTAACCAGCCCCTTAGATGCTGGCAGTGATCAGTTTGAAATGCAACAGAAAAAGAGATAATCACTCACCGTAGCAACAGAAATTTAGAATAGCTGGGAATAACTTACTTAGCTTTTGTAAAGAAACCACAGACTTACATAAGGAGAACACCACTAGCTAGCACCACCCAAGGATGTGTGCTGTGCCCTGTGGCCTCCCCAGCACAGCACCACTTATCCTGCCTTGAGTAGTTCAAAGAGAGAACACACGTCCAGACAGAACATACACAGAGGTGTTTAGTACCTTGGTTCTCAGATTTGCCTGGGACGCAAGGGTAACCAAGAAAAACTTGAGAGAGGAATGATGGAGAGGATACTAAAGCTTACCATAAGGCTGTAGGTGTGTCAGAAGTGTACCACTGTTCTCAGAACCTACAGGTCAATAGAAAAGAGAAATTCTGAAACAAACCTCAGTCCAAATCAGAATTTAGGGTGTGTTAGAGATGGCAACTCAAATTGTGGTGAGTAGTAACTTGGAAATAAAGTAAACTAGGTCCTTAATCTGTATGGCAGAATATATTCCAGAAAGCTGGAAAAGTTAATTATTAAAACAATAAGCATAAAACAATTAGAAGAAAATAATAGTTGACATTTAATCTAACCTTAAGGTAGAAAGGACTTTGTAAACGTAAAAGCAAGAAGAAATCACAAAGGAAATGATGGCTAGCTTACACAATATGGAAATGACAAACTTGAATACAGCAGAAAACATCACATGTAAAACTAAAAACAAATAACTGAAAAGAAATTTGTGTGGCACAGCTTGATATAATCAACATAGTAAAGCTGCTATACGTAAAAAAGCAGAACAAAAAACAAGGTAAGCAGCTTGTTAGAAGAATACACCAAGGACACATTTTGGGAAGTTCTCAAAAGACATACAGAAGGTCAATAAAGACAGAAAGATAGAAGGAAGCATATTAAAACGAGACCCTCTTTCCTAAAGATTGTGAGGTTCCTAACTTCACAGCTCTGGCTTTGAGAGGACCATGATAACAGGAGGGGTGGGCTGGGCCCTTGGCAAGTGGGCAGCTCAGGTTGGCTGGTTAGGGACTTTCAGTGGACTTTTAGGGGAGGCGATGTTGGGTTGTTAAGATTATGGGGGCCATGGGAAGAAGCAGGCCGCCCCAACAGCAAGGCAGTGCCTGACTCAGTGGCAGGCTGGTGTGAGCCACCCATGCACCTACTTTGTAGATATTGGAGCCAGGTCGCAGGGAGCGCCTGGGGCTGAAGATGGCCAATGAGGCTGCTGCCAAGAACAGGGCCAAGAAGCAGGAGGCCTTGCGAAGAGTGACGGAGAACCTGGCCAGGTGAGGGGCACTTGACCCATGTGGGGGTCTCTTCCTGCTCCCACTCAGTCCCACCTCCTGCAGTGTGGACATCTGGTCTACAGGGCAGGCCCCAGGAGACTGCAGTAGGCCCAGAGGCAGCTCCTCTGGTTCAGAGCAAGGCTCTGTGTGAACTAGGTGTGGGGCCCCCTCCATCTTTTCTTCAACCTCCTGTTAGGCACGTCCCTAAGAGGCACCTTTAGGCCTGTTGACCCACTATGAGCTCCTGTCAGCCTTGTGGAGACAGATGTCCTCATTCCCCTTAGAATTGGGATCCACACCAGCCCCACAGCCAAGGACAGCACCAGCACTTGACCTCAAATTTGGCCACACTGCCGTGTGCCAGGCCTCCGGTGTCCTCAGCCCAAAGGCTCCCATGCGTCTTCCTGTAGAATTGGAGGTTTTGCTGCTGGCGATGCCCCATCCAGGCTAATCCTACCTCTCTTGCCCACCCCTTCCACTCCAGCCTCACCCCCAAAGGCCTGAGCCCGGCCATGTCCCCAGCCCTTCAGCGCCTCGTGAACAGGACGGCCAGCAAGTACACAGACCGGGCCCTGCGGGCCAGCTACACACCATCCCCAGCACGTTTGACCCACCTCAAGACCCCAGCCGGCGGGCCCCAAACCCCAACGAGCACACCGGCTCCTGGCTCTGCTGCACGCACTCCCCTCAGCCAGGACCCAGCCTCCATCACGGACAACCTGCTGCAGCTCCCTGCCCGGCGCAAAGCCTCGGACTTCTTCTAGGGCCAGGCCCAGGCTGGGCCCATGGGAAATTCTTGGAGCCTCCAGGGCAGCTATCCACCCAGCAGAGGACTCTAGCCTTCTAAGGACCCAGGACCAGGCCAAAAGCAGTGACTGTCCCAGGAGCCACAAAGAAAGGTGCCATGTCGCACCCAGGCTGGCACAGGACCTGCCCCACAGCCCTTGGGGTGCATCCCAGGGCCTCGCTGGTTCTTTTTTTTATGGAACCCCTTCCCGTTTCTATTTAACCGGCATTAAAGAAAACCTAGCACATTCTGTAGGCCGCCTCTCCATCCTGCCCACATGGCCCCAAAATGGCCCTCCAGCCTCACGCCTACATGGTGGTCTCAGGATTGTGGGCCTCCCAGGGAGGAAGCTGTTGTGTGGGGTGACTCTTGGAGGGCCAGGGTGTCTGGTCTTTCCTGTCACCACCCGCATAGTTTTCTGTGGCACCCCAGGCACGGAACCTGCCTTCTGAGCTGAGCTCACAGCACGTTGGTCCCCCTCCCCCTTTCCTCCACCCCAAGTTTTGTTTATCTGAGGGAGGGACTGAGCTCTTGGGAGTTGAGCCCCTTGGATTCACCTGGGGCTCTGGCCCAGGTCTATAGCCTGCCCAGCTGGCCTGGCCTGTGTGGTCTGCCAGTGACAGGGCTGCATGGGTCCTAAATGAATGTCAGGCCACACTCTCACATGAGGTACCTCCCAGCAGCCTCACCATGACCTTCCCCAAGCACCTGGCTTCCAGTTCAGGTGGGGCAGGGCTGTCTCCATTTTCTTACCATCTCCAGGCACTACCTGCCATAGGCTGCTGAGTCACCAGCCTTAGCTCATCACTCCCACCAGCAAGAGCCCCAGGTAACAGTTACCTGGGTCGCAGTGTCAAAGTAATGGGTCCTGGCGCCACGCAGACCTGACAGCGCCATGTGCACCACGGCCAGCACTTGCCTGCTGGCCTGAGGGTATTGGCGCCTGACCCCCAGGAGGCCCAGGGCCAGCTGCTTTATATAGAGGTGGGGGGCCCAAGACCATGCCTTCTTGCCAGATGGGTCTCTTCTGGCCTTAAGTAGGGTCAAGTTGTGCCCTCAGGGGTGCTTGTTGCTCAGGGAGGCAACCTAGAATTGCTTTGAGCACTGCTTTGAGCAATTGCTTTTGAGTCCTGCTTTGAGCACACTCGTCCCTGTGCCAGGCCGTCTTTCCAGGTGCTCCTACATCTGTCCTCTTGCGCCCTCCGTGAGTGCCAATGTTCTCTGGAAACTGATGCAGAGCCTGCCACCTGCCTGGGCACTGCTAGCCTGCATTCTTCGACAGTTCCTATAAGCTCCCAGGGGCTGAGCCCTGGCTATGCCCTGTGACCCACTAAGGGAGCTGGGAGTGGGCTCAGCAGGTGAGCTTGGACAGAGGGCTAGGCCTGACCAGGGTGAGAAAAATTTGGGTTTTGATGCTCTTCCTCCATAGGGAAGGGTGGCCTTGGGCTTGAGGGTACCCCCAGGAAGTGGGGAGGCAGAGGTCTGAGTGAGTGTGAGTGAGATACAGAGGGGTATACTGTCCAGGCAAGACCACCTAAGGCCAGGTACTGACCACCTTCAGCACTTGGCTGGCCTGTGGGAAGTGTGCCCTGGGAGTGACAGGTGACAAAACAGGACTGCTGCATGGGGCAATTGGGAAGCAGTAGAGAGGGTGCAGATCAGAGTTCTTGGATGGAGGGGGTGTTCCAGGGGGAGGGAAGGAAGGGAGGGTGAGGAGGAGGACTTTGAGGAAGGGCTGTCTAAGGGAGTGGAACAGAGTCAGGGTGGGCTATGCTGCACCTGAGGTGCACCTGGCCAGCCCTGGAGGCACTGGGCGTGGGCAAGTCAGAGGGAGACCCATAGGGGCTTAGTGGGTGGGCCATGGCCACGGTGTTCTCCTTGCCCACAAGGCCTCTCCATGAGTACCTATGCCCAAGCCTTGGTCCCTGGACCCCTAACCCTGGAGACACCCATGCCGCAGGGAGGGTGGTTGGCTGAGTCCTAGAGAAAAAGACTCCTCAGGGGGCACTCTCAATGCTTGTTTACACTTTGTGGTTTATTTGCTAGCCAGTAATTAATGTCTTTGCTACTAAGTGGAAGAAAGCTAATAGAACGTAATCAAAATAGTGGTTTAATTGACAGATTTTACTTGTTCCTTGAACCTGTGCTTCTTCAGCTCCTACCTGCCTACTTAGTTTATGGGGGCGCCACCATGCACCACGCTCCCCGGCCCTCAGCACCTTAGGTGCTTGCCTTCCCCACCTCAGCTCCGGAGATGTGATGCTCTTTTGCCCTGGAGGTCTCGGCCAGCCTTTCCTCCATCCTGTCCTCATTCTCGGGCATCACCAGCAGCCGGTGCTGGATTTTGGCCCCCAGCTTGTGGTCAGGCCGGTGCTCGGGCCGCGAGCCTGGTCGTGTGTCCAGTTTGTACTCTGCCCGGTACTTGCCCTCACCCTCCCTCTTAAAGGAGGCAGAAGACATGGCTTTGGGCTTGGGGGGCTGCAACCATGAGTGGCTGAGGATCTCATCAATGTGCAGTCGCCGGTTGACGTCCGGCTGCAGGATGCGATAGATGAGGTCCTTGCACTCGCCTGTCAGGTTCTTGGAGCGTGGAAAGTCCACACGGTGCTCCTTCTGGATTCGTAGCATCTTCTTGATGTCAGAGTCATCGTAGGGCATGGATCCGCAGACCATGATGTAGAGGATCACGCCCAGGCTCCAGATGTCATAGACCTTGGGCTGGTAGGGGATGCCCTGTAGCACCTCGGGGGCCGCGTACGCTGCAGACCCACAGAAGGTCTTGCTGAGGATGATGTGCCCGCTGCCATCCCGTAGGCAGCGCTTGGAGAATCCGAAGTCGGACAGCTTGATGTTGAAGTCCTTGTCTAGGAGAAGGTTCTCGCACTTGAGGTCTCGGTGGACGACATCTAGGTCATGGCAGTACTTGACAGCCGAGGATAGTTGACGGAACATCCTGCGCGCCACATCCTCGTGCAGGGCCCCCCGGCACTTGATGAACTCGAGGAGGTCGCCCTGGACGCCGAGCTCCATGACAATGTAGATGCGCCCGTCTGAGGTTTCAAAGATCTCATAGGTCTTGATGATAGAGCGGTGGTTGACAGTTGCCAGGATGTCCATCTCCCGAGGAAGGAATCTCTCCACAAAGTCGGTGGGTGTTTTCTTGCGATCAATGATCTTAACCGCCACGTTGAACTTGAGGCGCTCGGAGTAGGCAGATTTGACTTTTGCATAGGAGCCCTTGCCAAGACTGATTCCCACGATGTAACCCTTCTTCCTTAGGACCGCGGCATCGTCCATGGTGCCAGAAGCGGCGGGCGCCGCTGCCCTCTACATCCCCTCCCGACATGGGCCGGCAGGCATTGTCCTCATTTACAGTGTGAAGAGTCGTCTGGCTGGGCTGGCCTGGACTTGGAGGAGTGGAATGCTCAGCATTGTCTCCAAGTGACTTCAGCATGTGAAGTCATAAAGCCAGGCTGCAGGGAGTGGGGACGGCTGGGGGAAATGGGGCCCCTGGAGCCCTAGAAGCCAGGCTGGCGTGGCAGGAATGCCCACTCTCCGCCCACGAGAAGGAAGCTGGCACTCTGGACTATGGTAACCCTTCCTGCTCCTCCTCACTGTCGCTTCCCTGTCACAAGTCAGGCATGAAGGGGGCTTCCCAGGTCTAGCCAGAGTGCCAGCCCCATGCAAGTTTCCTTCTCCTGGCTGTGGGGACTGACCCTGCATTGGTCCTTGTTCCACTATGCCCAATTTCCCGCAACTTCTTTGGGGTGTGAAGTAAACCCTGTCTAAGGCTTGTGTCCTCAGAACTGGTGGTGCCTGTGGAGGACTGCCCCGGTCTGGCCAGACTGGCAGTGGTTCCAAGCTTGGTGGACAGGAGCAGCTCCTGTTTGGGGTAGGGCCCTGGTTGGATGAGTACAGCTTCCGCTGCTGCTGCTAACAGTCAGCTGGATGTGTGTGGAGTGGGAGGACAGGCAGAGCTTAGGGGTGCTGTGAGCCCCCGGCTGGCAGATGTGTGTTCCAAGGACTGGGACAGGCCTGGAGGATGGGTCAGGCTTCTGTCAGGTAGTGGTGAGGCATCCAGGTAGGGAATAGCCTGGAAGAGGAGAGGGCTTGCTTATTCTGAGAATGGCTGACTCCCACAGTCGGGAGGGTGGTGGGCAGAAGGTAAGTGAGGGCTTTTCCCTGAGCATTGGGCAGCCATTGCAGGGCCCAGAGCAAGAAGAGCTGTGACCCAAGACACGTTTTAAGATGACATCATAGAGAATGACCTTTGGGGTGAGTGGAGGCCAGTGCCTTTGACCAGGTAAGAGCAGGCTGGACAAGGGAGGGCCCATGGGGATTGGGCAGCAGAGAGAGACAGAGGAGGGCCTGGTGCTCTGGTTGGCAAGTGGGTGGGGTCCCGAGTGGAGCCTTGATGCTGGGGGTCCTGGCGGTACCCACAGCCTCAACAGTCAAGAGCAAGCACCTGGGTAATTAGGAGTCCTGAATTATGTCACTTTGGGCCTTTGTGAGGAGTGGCATGTTGTGACTGTTGGAACTCTGGGGAAGCACATCGTTTCATCTCAGACTATCTTTTGTGCCTGGAAACAACGTGAAAACACTTTTTCAGGGCACATGTATGGAGTTCTGCTTTGGGAAACATGGCCTCCTATGTGCATTGCCTTAGGTACTTTGGAAGCTCTGCTGTTCATTTGTCCTCCATCACAGGCATCCTGTGCCCACACATAGCAAATTGCCAGGATAGGCATGCCATGTTCTTGGTGTTCAGAGGAGAGGAAGGCCTTTTTCTGTGTGGGTGGTTGGGGGCTGATGATAATGCTGGCATACGAAGGCTCAATGGTGCTCCACCAGGTTGACAAGGGGCAGGATGTGCCAGGTAGATGTGATGTGTTGGCCAGAGCATGGCTATGTGGATGCACCTAGAGCATGCGGGGAGCTCCCTGTGTCTGGAAGTCTGACAGATGGCAGGGGTAGGGCAGCCAGAGTCCAGGCAGGAGTGACTGACCCCAGCATGGCAGGCCTCCCTGAGGCCTGATCCCAGCTCTTTAGAACTTCCATCGTTAATAGCTTTAGCTGATGCCTACCTTTCTCCTGGGGGCTCTTTTTTTGACCTACATCACCAGAACTTCACTCCTTTGTATCCCAGAAGGGGCTAGCTGTGAGGATTTGTAGTCAGGACCCAATAGCACGTCCCCCTTTTTTCCTGTGCCCCAATGTTTCATCTGGGATGCCCCTGCGTGTCTGCCTTCTTGGCTGACTCCACTGACCCTTTGTAGATTCTGCCCCCTCATATCCCTCTCTTGCCCGGACAGGGTGGCCTTTGGTTCTTGGGGACATGGAGGAGGCAGTTCTCAGCATCATACAATTGGAGCTTCCAGGGTGTGGGGTGGGTGGCGTCACCCAGCCTATGCACACTGAGGCAGGGATTCCTGGTGTATTTGAGGGGGTAGTGTTTGATTGGACCAGGGGACCTCCAGGAAATTCCCAACCTGCAGTCCTGTGGGTCAGAGACCTGCAGACTCTGGGCAGGCCACTCCTTCTGAACTTTGGTTTCCTCCATAAAGTGGGCACCCACTTGTCCATTCACTCCATAGGTATTTGAGGGTCGGTTGCAGGTGCTGGGGTACACTGATGAACTAGACAGGGCCTGGGCTTTCCTGGAGTCCAGAGGCCTGGGAAATTCAATGTCACACTAATGAATGTGAATGCCCAATGGTGACTGCAGTGATACCAAGAAACATGGAGCTGTGAGTACAAAACTGGGGGCCGGACTTGGGGAGGCTGGGAAGGCCGAGGGCTGAGTTAGCCACACAGAGGAGTGTGAGGGCTGCTAGTGCATGTGATGGCCTGAAAGGACAGTGTGGTAAGAGTGTGGGGGTGGAAGAGAGCACTGTGGGCTACAGCATCCATGTTGATGATCTTGATCCTAGAGTCCTATCGGGGAGGTCACTGAAGGGGTGTGATCCAAGGCTGGGCCCAGTGGGTTGAGCATCTCACAGGAGTGGCTGGCACATGGCCACCTGGGGAGGCGTGGCTTCAGTCACCTGGGCTGCCACTCTATGCTGTGTGACTCAGGTACTTGTCTACCCTCTCTGAGCTGCCTCCTTACCTGGAAAGCATACAATAGGTGCGCCTTCCTGCAGCCCCTCCCTTCCAGACTCGCCTCCTGGCTGGGCTGCAGTGAGACTCCTAGGCCTTCTTGCCACACACTGCCCACTGCCCTAAGGACGGCAGCAGGTTGTAGAGAGGACAGAAGAGAGGAGAGGTTCATGAGCTTCTTCTCAGGATGTCACTATCTCAGCTGGCCCCAAGCACTTTGCAATTCTACTCCACCACCAAACAACCTGAATGACTGGCTTCCTGGGGCCTTCAGTATTCACTAGAAAAATGGGTGGTCGCTCCAGTATTACTCAGGGCCTGTTCTGTGCCCGGAGCCTGGGCACTCACTGGCCTGTCCTGGCGGAGCTCACAGTGGCTGGCTGCTGAGTGCTGTTAGAAGCCCCCAGAAAGCCTTGTGGAGGCCATGGCCCCTCAACTGAGCCTGGAGAGGTGGGCAAGATCTGCAGGGATGCATCCACAAGTATGATTATGGCATGCATATGTGGGGTGTGAGGTGAGGGAGGGGGCTGGGAAGCCAGGAGAAGACCATACCTGGGAGGACCTCAAAATCCAGGCACTGGGATCCTTCCTGGGGCAGTGGGAGCCAGACTGAGTGCTACGAGATGCAATGGGAGTGCAAGGACGGAGGCCTTGGTGGTCGCTGAGCTATGACACACTGGACCACGGAGATATGAGGACATAGAATGTGTGAAGGTGGCTGTACGGATGGAGCAGCCAGGCAGAGTGGTGGATCGGATATGGGGAGGATTGCAGAGGGCAGGTTCAGGGCATACACTGGGTCTCACTTCTCCCAAGGGGCAGGGGGTTGGGGTCTTCCCAAGACAAAGACCTGGGCGGGAGGCGGAGGAGAGGTGAGTCTGAAGGCTCTTGTCCTCTTGGTGTGTGAACCCTGCAGGTCCATATGAGGTTGTGAGTTGAGTGAGAGGAGGAAGAGAAAGGCCATCACAGCTGAGATGAGGCCTGCTTGAGAAACGGCATGCAGGGCTCTACAGTGCACGGTGGCTGGTGATGCTAAATGCAGGTCTGCTCCCTCCAAGGGCTACCGATGGCTGCAGCTGCCAGGTACCTGTCTGGTCTCCTACTCACCAGTGTCAGCTTATTCACTCGGGCAGGGAGTGTCACCCCCAGAGTCAAACTGGGATTAGGGAGGAATAAGATGTTGTCAAGGTCCCACATGGCTGTGGGACATGCAGGCTGGAGTGTGGCTGCTTTCAGGGGGCTGGGGAAATGACCACAGGGCAGGATGACTCACGACACCATTGAGGACCAGGTGCCAGCTGGACATGGTGGAACCCCCTGGTGGACAGAGCAGAAAAACTGAGTTTCCCACCAGGGTGAGGAGTTCAGGAGAGGCTGAGAGGCCGCTCCACCTGCCCTCTGCAGGTCCCTTCCCAGTGGCAGCCTTGTGGGGCTCCCTCCCAATGCTCCTCTGTAGGCAGCCTCTTCATCCTCCTGTCCTCTCTGTGTCTCCTCCCCACCCCAACACCGCACTCATGGCCCCCCTCTTAAAGCAGCATCTTCCTCACTCAGCTCTCTGCTCTGATCTAGGGCCTGAGGTCATGGTCAGGTCACGGTTAGGGCTAGGCACATTAAGATATATTTTCCCAAGTGCTGCGGTCAGCCGGGTCAAAGACATTTACCTTGAGGTTTGCAATAATATAGTGATTTATTGCTTCTTTAGCAATGGGGGTTGCCTAGTTGAATGGGAGGGAAAAGAAACTGACGAAAATAGTGACTCATTGGGGTCTTTTTTCCTTCTCTGACTCATCCCTTGGCTTTTTTGGAGCTCAGACTGGAAGCTATGAGCTCTGCCTCATTCCCTGCAGGGCCCATGGGCCATGGGAGAGGTCTACTAGGTGTATGTCTCTGAAAGCTGTGGAGGGGGCTCTTCCACTGTCTCACTGCTCAGCTGCTCAGCTGTGGTCTCCAGCTGCTTGGACACCTGCCTTTGCAGTGTCTCCTCCTCGGGTTTTGACTCGAACCTTGCCTCAGGCTGTGCCTCCTCTTGGGGCTCCAGGTTGGTGGCAGACTTCTTGGCAGAGCCAGACTCAGGGATACTCAAGGGTTCAGTGCCCTGGGAGCTCTCCCCCTCCTTGTTGATGGCTGCAGAGGACAGGCCCCGGGCCTTAGGTTGCACCCAGCAGTGGCTGAGGATCTCGTCGATGTGCAATCGCCGGTTGACGTCCGGCTGTAGCATGCGATAAATGAGGTCCTTGCATTCTCCCGTCAGGTGTTTGGAGCGCGGGAAGTTGACACGGTGCTCCTTCTGAATGCGCAGCATCTTCTTGATGTTGGAGTCATCATAAGGCATGGAGCCGCAGACCATGATATAGAGGATCACGCCCAGGCTCCAGATGTCATAGACCTTGGGCTGGTAGGGGATGCCCTGCAGCACCTCAGGTGCCGCGTACGCCGCAGACCCACAGAAGGTCTTGCTCAGTGTCAGTCGGCCACTGTCGTCCCGTAGGCAGCGCTTGGAGAATCCGAAATCAGACAGCTTGATGTTGAAGTCCTTGTCTAGGAGAAGGTTCTCGCACTTGAGGTCTCGGTGGACAATGTCCAGGTCATGGCAGTACTTGATGGCCAAGGAGAGCTGGTGGAATTTCTTGCGAGCATCATCCTCGTGCAGGGCTCCCCGGGTTTTGATGAACTCGAGAAGGTCACCTTGGACGCCGAGCTCCATGACAATGTAGACCTTGCCGTCTGATGTCTCAAAGATCTCGTAGGTCTTGACAATGGAGTGGTGGTTTAGCATGGCCAGAATTTCAATTTCCCGGGGAAGGAATTTCTCCAAAAAGTCTGTGGGGGCTTTCTTGCGGTCAATAATCTTGACTGCCACGTTGAACTTCAGTCGCTCAGAGTAAGCAGATTTGACTTTTGCATATGAGCCCTCTCCCAAATTTATCCCCATGATGTAGCCTCGTCGCTTGAGGATGGCAGCATCATCCATGGTGCCAGGAGCACCCAGTGCCTCTGAGGCTGCCCTCTACATCCCTGCGAGACATGGGCAAGTGGCGTCCTCATTTACACTGTGGACAGAGAGTCCTCTGGGCTGGCCGGGCCTGCTGTCCCTGCCTCCTAGAGGCCCATACTCTGGGGTGGAACAGTGGGCATTGTCTCCCAGGTGACTTCAGTGGGTGAAGTCATAAAGGAGGGGTGCCCTAAGGGAATGAGTCTCTGGCCTGAGTCACTTGAACTTGGAATCCTGGAAGGCCAGCCAGTGGGCTGGAGCAGACCAAAGACCTGCAGAGACTGGCCTTACATTTGGCTAGGACCTGAGGTAGGAGGGGGCTGTGGAGACATATCAGTCAGCCCATGCCTCCACATCTGAAGCCAGGACTGCTTGTGGAGTGGTGGGGTAGATTACTGCAACCCGGGAATCCCAAGAAATCCAGGGTGGGTGGTTGTACAAGTTTGGGTCCCAGTAGGAAACAAGGCATACTCCAGTTAAGGCAGTCTGAGGAGGGTTTAACAAGGGCATAATTTACAAAGGTGGGAGTGGAGTATAGGAAACCCCAATGGTAGTCACAGACTCCAGGAAGCCTGGGAAGAGTAGGGTAGGGAGGGCCACCTTAAGAGAGGCAGTGACCACCTTGAGAGAGGTGGAGGCTACAGTGACCCCACAGGGAAGATGCTGAGGAGAATCCCTGACTTTTCCCTTTCAGTCCTGGAAGCCTTGCTGGTGTCCACACAGGTGGTCTGTGGGCGATGCAGCAGGGCTCAGAAAGGTAAAGGCAGGCCAGGAGGGGCAAAGACTCCTGGCTTGTGGGGTCACAGGCTTTAGGAAGCCAGGGCTCTGCCCTCTCCTGCATGGTTTGGCTAGACTTTTCACCACCCTGTACTTCTCTTTCCTCATTTAAACCTTTGCCAGGCTGCTTCTCTGACAGTGGCTCTGTGCAGGGGACAACTGGCAGGGATTTCTGCTCTTGGCTGTGTGTTCCCTCTGGGGGCGGTGGTGGTGGTGGTGGGGTTTCCTAGACCATGGCCCTGGCTGGGCTCCCGGGGCAGATCTGGGGCTGAGGGGCAGAAGGCTGGGCCTGGAGTGCCAGCAGCTGCTCCTAGAATGCTCCCTGAGGATGGTGCAAGTAGAGAGGTTAGTATTGGTCAGGGACCAGTTTCTGCCAGCGTTGCAGCCCCTCTGCTGTGGTTGCCCCATTATCTAACACCTGCTCTAGGCCACACCCGGAGGAACAGGAGCAGGCAGGTCTGGCCTAGCCTTGGGTTTAACCTTGGTCATATCCGCCCATAGGGAGTAGGTGCCTCTCTCTCAGATGACCCTGAATGTCACAGGTTTGAACCCTGGGACACTCAGGAGAACCATACCTTGAAGGAGCTTGGGAGGACTGCTCCTGGGGAGTGAGTCAGTGGGGCTGAGGTGGGCCAGGAGGGGATGGGTCCCCATCAGCCTTGGCCCTTCCCCCTTTTCTCTGCTCCCATCTTCACCCTCTTTTCCAGCCCTGACACCCTTTGCCAGGCCTTGGCACAGCTTCCTTTGGACAATTTGCTCCTCTCTCCTACTGAGGACACTACCTGCTGTGTCTCCTCCCATGGTCACTCACCTTGTTCCTGATAACAGGTGCAAGGTCAGCACTTAGAGCATTGTCCCCAGCAGCTTTCCTCCAAGCAGATGTGGCCTGCTGTGACACCAGCTGTGCCTAGCATACCTTCCCCTGCTCCAGCATTGTGTAGGCAGGCCCCGTCCTCCAGAGTCCAGCTTTGCTCCTGTCTCTCTAGAATCAGCGCTTCCCTGTTAGCTCTCCTAGTACGACACTCCTTGAGATTATTTCTTCATCTGTTTGAAACATTTTCAGTTGTCTGTGCAGGTGGAGCCACACTGGCCTGTTTCTTACAGCGTTGATCCTCTTTTCCCACCCTAGAAACATCTCAAGGATAGTGCGGGTCTCTCCAGCTTTGTTCATTCCTTCTCTGCGGCGGTTCGGCCTTAAAAAGACCACTTTAGGGCACACTCTTGGGCCTCCGACTGACCGGACCTTGGCCTGCAGGTGTGCAAGGTGCAAAGACCCTTTGTGTCCCTGTCTCCCTCAGTTCCCTCTCTGTCCTGCCCCTCTTCCTTGAAGCTCAGCCCCCTGGGCCACTCCCGGCCCCTCCGATACCCACCCCTTGACCCCACTGAGCCCCGTTCCTTTCGGTGTCGGTCATCTTGGTCCCATCGCCTCTCTCCCCAGCCCTCGGCCCTGAGCCCTCAAATCCTTGGCCCTTCCGAGGCCCCGCCCCTGAACCCCACCTCTCTGTTTAGCCAATGGCACACATCCCCCCTCCCATAGGGCCCGCCCCTCACCGTCCCGCTATTAGGCCTCGCCCCTTTCGGGCACTACCACCCAGGCTCCGCCCCCGCTCGGCCAATGGTCCGCACGCACCGAGAACGCGCAGGCCGCGCCCCTCGCCTCGGCGCTCATTGGCCGGAGCCAGCGTCGCGGGCGGGAGGCGGGGCGGCGCGGAGCCGAGCAGGACGGCCGCCATCTTGAGCGGAGCCGGAGTCAGATCCCGAGGCTGCGGCCGAGAGTGTGCGCGAGCCTGCCGCCAGCGCAGCTGCGATCCAGCCATAGACCTCTCCAGCCGCTTCTCTGCGCCCGGCTCAGGCCCGGCCCCCCGACCTTCGGCCCGGCCCGGTCCGGCCTCCCCGCGGGGTTACGCGGCCGCTCCGGGGACGATGAACGGAGGATAAATGGTGCCCAAGGCAGACAGCGGTGCCTTCCTGCTGCTCTTCTTGCTTGTGCTCACCGTCACCGAGCCGCTGAGACCAGGTGCGCGGCGCGGGGGTGCCTGGCGGGCTGCCGGGGGCGGGGCGGGCGGTTTGCAGGGTTGGGGTCGCCTGGGACCTTCCTCCAACCCTCCGGATCGCGTTCTGGGAGGTCACCGGCGAAGGGCTGCCTGCCGGCCGCCGTGTCCCCCACCCGGAACCGTGGCCCTCCAGGACCGTGCTGTGAGTTTGCCTGGGCTCGAGCGCCTCGTACATCACGGAACTTTGTTCTCAAGGGATGTTGCCTTCGGGTGCACGTCCGTGGAGCACTGCGAGCTTTGAGATTGACTAAAGCGAGAGTGATGTACGGGTCTCGACCCAACTTCTGGGGCCTGGGAGTTCTGTGGCGGAGGAGCTGCGCCTTGGGCGCGCCCTCCTTGCTGGCCAAGCGGCTGGGGTCAGGCTGGAGTACTGGGAGTCGAGAGAACAGCTCGTGGAGGCACCTGGTTTTCCTTGCTTCCTCCCAGCTGTGACTTGGTTCCTGCAACTCAGCTCTGAGAATCCCTCGGCTGGAAAGCGGTAGCAGTGTCGCTTATTGTCATTCAGAGAGGTGTTGCACTTGAGAAGTACTCAGCTCAGAGACCGCCCCCTCGGAGTTACTAGGAGTCTGCCCAGCATCAGGCGCCAGGGAGCAAGCAAGCTTCCTGGGGCAGAGACTGACGCGCTGCTTCGAGGCTGTGTCGCCGCCATCGGAGCCTGGACAGTGCCACGTACTAAGGAGTGCTCCTTGTATGTGATGATTAAATGCCTTTGGAACTTATCATGTAACCTGTTTTTGTAAGAAATCCTGTGGTGGGGAATCAGGATCATGCCAGCTAGAAAGTCCCAGACAATTTTTGTCTCTACCTGTTTCTAGTGCACCCCTCCAGCTTTGAACTGCGGCAAGAAAATGAAATCCCCAAATGCAGGGCCGATTTATCTAGCAGGCACAAGAAGCGCAGTGTTGGGGGCTCACAGTTATTTTAATGGCCTGTGAAAATGTTTGATTTCTTTTAAAATCAGCAGGAAAGTAAAAACAAACTTTTAGATCAAAAGGAAATGTACACATACAAAGACATTCATCTTTATAACAACACAATTGAAAAATAGAATTCTTAACATTTTTTAATGCAGGTAGGGGGCCATGAAGGTAGAAGTGCGGAGGGCCATCTTCTGTGAGTACTGTCAGGCCTCAGTGGGTGGAGGCAGGCCAGGGAGCAAAGTAGTGTGCGGCTCTCCACTGTGCCCTTGCTAGGCTCCTGCCCTACACATGCTGAACCTCTCAATTCCCCAGTGTCTATCTGGTGGCCAAGACTCTGGGGCCACACCAAACCTGGAGTTTCTCCAGTGATGCTTCCCTGAGCTCCCCAAGTAGAGCTGGTTGCTCAGTGCTTTTGATGTTCTTTGTCAGCAGGGTGCCTGGTTGTGGGATAACCTTGGTAGGAATGGAAGCCAAGAAAAGGGCCACCTGTTGACGTGGGTACTGTAGGGGCTCTTGGGAACCAGAGCCAATGGATTTGTGGGTGGTTGTGATTAAGTCCTTTAGAAAACATGTCTACACTTGTAGACAGTGAGATGTCATCCGGTTCTGGCTCCTGGGTCCCCGTTTTGCACCTCGGGTCATTGGACTCTGAGGGGTGAAGCCATGCATCATGCCTGTCTTTGTTGGGGTGCCTCTGGTTCCAGGTCCAGTATCTCCCTCCTGAACGATGGAGGTAACCAATGTCTCTGACTTTTTTTCCTTTGCCGCCTGTCCGCATATCCTGCCAAATGGCCAGCAGCAATTCTACAAGCATTTTTGAGTGTTCACTGCCTGCCCATCACTAGGATGCTCAAATGAAGAGAATAAACCCCTCCCTCTGGGACTGCTCATTAAGTGTGGAAGCAGGGACAAAGTGTAAATCCATCCACTGAGTGGGGGGCCCCAGGCAGATGGCAGATGTGGCCAACCATTTGTACCTATGAATCAGGGGAGGGCTTCATGGGAAACAATGTTTAGGTCTGAGTTGGGGACAGGGAGGCAGTTCTGGCAGAGGGAGCAAAGTTACCCTTTTAATTCCATGATTGTCCAGATCAGAACTTTGCAGCAGCCCCCAGTGGTTTCTTGACTTGCAAAACCTGGGGGACTTCACCTGGCTCCCTGACTTTGGGCAGTGAGAGCGTGTCTCACTCTGGGTCAGGTGTTCTGCTTGTGTGTGCTCTGTATCCTTTCAGGCAGGGGTCTGCTAGCTGGCACTTTCAAGAGGGTGCTGCTTTGGTCTTAGCCTGCATTCTTTCTGTTGGAATCCTGGCTTAGACCCATACTTAGGTGTGAGGAGGGCACCAGTCAGAACCTGCTTCCTGGAAGGGAGAGGGAGAGAGGGAGGGAGGAAAGGAGAGAGGGAGGGAAGCGGGCAGGCAGGTGAAGAGGATGTCCTCTGATTTCTGCAGGGTGGAGCCCTTGAGGACTGGGACCAAGGCACTTTCTGCTCTTCTCTGATGCAGGCCAGAGTGTGAGAGGGGGCAGTGGGCAACATGAGTGTTGAACTTGACTTTTGCCAAAGTTTCTTTTAAATGCATGTCCGATCTTGGTTGATTGAGGATGTGTTACATGCCAGGTGCTGTTCTAGCACTAACACATGTTGATTAACTTAACTCTCAGGTGGTCCCTGTTATTAGCACCATTTATAGATGGGGAAATTCAAATATAGAGAGCTCATCAAGCTAACTGGCTGAGATGAGATTTAACCCTAGAAGTCTGGCCTGTCCCCCATCATGCACTCTTGGCTGGGGCTTTGTCTCCTCCAGCTGTGTATGTTCTGTGCTGGTCACTTCTCTTCTGATTGACCCAGTGGTTCACCAGTGGAGATGCTGGACCTTTTTCTATCTGAATACTTTGGTCAGGGGGCTAGAACCAACCCTCCCTCCAAATTCTTTCTATAGTTAGCCATAATAACTGATGAAGATGTGTGTTATGCCCATTGGGGGTGTGGTGAGAAAGAAAGGTTGGGTACCTCTGCTAAGGGTCAACAGACAGAGGGGCATTTAGGGACCACTGACTGCTATCATCTCACCAACCCTTTCTGTATTGGTATAGGTCAGCATCAATTGCTGATTCTAAAACTGTTATTTTTTTCTAGCATCAATTATGAAAGAAAATCATGCCCTGGTTTCAGCCACAGCTCCGTCCAGGGTGACCCCACCATACATAGCTGAGACATTTGTCTTCCCTGAGTGAGCACTGTCTCCGCTGAAGTCCCCAGCCCTAAAAAAGGCTTATGCTTGGCCAGGCCTCTTGGTGAGGAGCAGGACTGGAGCTGTCTTCCTTGGGAAAAAGGAAGCTGGCTGGGAGAGGCAAGTGACTTGCATAAGGCCGCACAGCTGGTGAGCTGCATAATTAGGATTCAAACCTGGGCGAGCTGGCTCCTAGTCCAGAGTTCTTTCCCCTTCATCATGAGGGACTTGGAGGGGCCTGCTGGCTATGCTGAACTGATAAATCCTCAGTGAGCTGACAAGTGGCCACAGCACCTTGCCTCTGGAGCAGCGCATGGGTTAGCAAATAGGAAGAATGTGGATAATTTATAAGTAGAAGTGGCCGAAACTTATAGAAGTATCTGGACAGTTGAGCCCCAGGTGCCTTCTAAGTTTGGAGCGCTTCCCTTCCCAGCCCACCACCCTGTAGCATTGTAGAACTTGCCCTGCTGGCAGAAGAGGCTTTGTGCTTTGCAGTGTCATTCTTTTTAGTTGTCAAGTAGTGTAACACTTTCCGACCTAACTAGCTAATGCTTTTTTTTTTTTCAGGGAAAAAATTTCAAACTTACAGAAAAGTTGTGAGGATAAAATTAGTGCATAGAATACCTGCATATTCTGTACTAGACGTACCTGTTAGCATTTTATTTTATTTGTCTTATTCCCCCCCTGTGTGTATGCGTGTGCTTGTACATAGATATGTATACATGCACATAATTTGTTTCTGAACCATTTGAGAGGAATGATCCTTTCCCCCTGAATGCTGGTTGCTTCAGAGAGCAGGAGGAAGCTCCTGGTACTCGGTGCCTCTGGGAGATGTAAGTTGATGCTCCCCAACCCATTGCTTGTATTCACCTTGTAACAACCCCTCACATCCACCTGCTGTGTGCCAGGCACTGTGTCCCCACCACAGGATGGTCTTGAGGGCACAGGATGGGCTGTGGTTAAAGCTTCGGTTGTTCCAGGTGGCAGCTAGTCAGAGTTAGTATTTCAGTTGGGGTTCTAGTCTCAGGAATGAAGAATGTGCTAGTGCACACTTTGGCAAATGCATCTGTACCTTCTTGCTGCTGTTAGGCTGTGTCTTTCCTGTTCCTCTGGCCCAGATCACTCTTGCCTGCAGCCTTCTTGTCCTGCTTCCCAGGCCTAGCTGACAGCACTTGCCTTCCCCACCTTCCCCTCACTGACAGTTCTACAGCACTTAATGCA